GCAGAGATCAATGATATCTGTAAACAGTCAGAAGTGTATAGTATATTCAGGACTTGTAAGGAGTTCTGATATAACAATGACTCTGTGAATCACAATATCAGATTGTGGTCCCTGCAGAAATGGCTCATTAAAATGAAGAGTGAATCCAATCTAGAAGGTATAAGAGTTCTTTTAAAATTGAAAACGCTGAATCTAAAAATAACTCAGAACTACAAAAAAAAAAAAGTCAAATGATCAGTGCTGAGAACAGCATATTACCCCGGAATAGCCAATAACTGGCTGTAACGGTTTCTGTTGTTACGGTATGTGGACATAAATGAAACGTGAGGTGATCACAGATTTTAGGGAACCTCTTTATTGGGGGGGGGAAAAAGTATGGGTGCATATTTAAATCTTTTTGCGAAACTATCTAAAGCAGGTGCCAATGTGTTCTACAAATTTTGCATCTAAAGAGCTTGCTTTAATGGATTGTTCTAGTGGTTTTGGACATGCTGTCCAAATGATCGAGGGGGTTGGATGCATGAAGTCTTGTCTCTGGGTACGAGTGAGAGAAATATTGGGCGTCTATTAAAATGTGGCTTTTTGTTACCATGGTGAGCGGTCGAGGAGACTGTGGGCTCCACTGATTTGGATTGACCTTGGTGAAAATGTGAACACTGACTGTATACCTATATCACCAGAAATAGTGCAGTACGACAAAGAGCTGGAGGAGCTATCGCTCAGAATGGTGGTATCTTTGTGAATTCTTTTTTTTTTTTTTTTTTATAAAAGCCATGTCATTTGTACAACAAAAAGGCATGATAAACCAATCTGATATAACGGGAAAAAATAAACTTATGTACTTCCCACACTGACTGTGAAAGCATGGCACTATATTGTATGTATGTATGCATGTACCTGATAAGTGTGTGTAAAAGTTTGTTTTTTTATTTAATCGCTAGGCTGTAAGTATGTTTTTTCAGTTTATGTTTTGTAGATTATATTATGTGAAGAGCAAACCATGATTTAAGCAAACAGAATGGAAAACCAGAAAACACCATCAATATGTATAATATAATTCTACATGATTTTCTAATTTTCTATACAAAAACATTTTTTTAAAGCTTAAATTCCTACTTCAGAGCAATAAAGGAAAATTAAGAATACAAACAAAGTAGGCCAGTAATATATTGTGGAATGTTAATTCGTTAAGCGGCAGCATATTAAAATAGATAAATTGCACAATGCGATATAAATGCTTGTTGTGTATTGGTACATTCAGTGTGTTTAATATGGGAATTGTAAACATTCATTTTTGTTTTGTTTTTTGTTTGCTTGATTGTCCATCATCACTATTTGGCTACAATTTTACTGGAAAAAAAACTGCCTTGCTACAGAATTGCACTTTTGGCTTGGTAATATTCAGTATTTCTATTATCAAGTTAATCTGCAAAAAATGTGAATACTACTAATCAATCATTTTCATAGTCAATTTTCAAAAAACCGTGATAAAAAAAATGAAGCTATACCGTAGGAACAGATCTATTGTTAGCGTCCAGTAAATGACAGAACAGTATCAAGGCATCAAATAGCGTGATAATTTAACTACTGAGTGTAAACTTGTTGTGGTATTGTGAGTAAATTTTACACAGTAGGTTACACAGACAGGTAATGCACACATCAAACAGGTGGAAAGCCCGTCTTCACAGAATTAAGTATTACCTGAAACACGCTCATGTGTTCAACAATCTATTTATGTGGTTTATAGTAAATGTTGTTGCAATTACAACCCGTACCTAATCATAACAACATCACTGTAATGTACAAGTTAAAATTATTTATCGAAAGCAGGAAATTCAAGAAACCAAATTTGGAAGGGTGTTTCCATTTTACTTCATTAGCCAACACTTATCCAGAGTGATACTCAAAATGTAACACACTCAGTGCAGACTCCAGGCCAAACAGCGCTGAAGGTATTCACGTTGAATGACGTAGTGTACTGATAATTGTGACACTGTCCTATAAGGCAAGAACTTTACTTGAACAGTGTATACTTCCATATCTGTTTGCTGCAGTGTTGACCTGGACGTGGTCGGTCTCTGGGGTAGTCCTTCACTTAGTGCTCAGCTGCATTGTGACTCCATTACGCCAACTCGCTTGCTTGCCCTTTGCCTAAAACGGTACTGTGCTCAATGGCCTTTACTATATGGCAACTCTGCAGCTCGCTTTAAACGCAGGTGAACGTGCTCCGGAGCCACTTAGAGCTAAAAATTTGCGAACGCCAGCTGGCTAAGCATGGATAACTTCTAGAATAGTAACAGCAGTAATCAACAAGTAGAAAACATTGGCCATCGAGTAGCATACTTAATATCGCCGGGAGGCCACCATCATCCGGTCTTCATTAATAATATTCACGAAAACAAAGTACGTAGAAGTAGCTTTGCTGTCGTGTCATTCACAACACACGACGACTAGGTAGACTGTCAACTATCTAAGTGAGCAATTGTGAGTAGTGGGAGTTATAGCTACAACCGAACGGAGTAATTTTTTTTTTTTAACTGCGCAATAAAGTCTGGTTCTGCTGTGTTTATTTATCAACCCAAATGGCCAGAAATATAATTCCTGAAGCGCACGTTCGCCTCGGGTGGCCCATTACGGTCTCACTGCTTCTGTTAGCCGTAGTGCGGCACCGCTGTACGCCTCCTTACCTCCTGACCAGCCATGCCGCTGCAAAGATGCTTCCTGGGGCACAACCTTAAGGTTTGGTTCTCAAAGCCCCAAACCCCCCAGACCTGTGTCCAGTTGCTGCTCATCACTGCCTTGTGGGGCTCATCCACTGAAAGGCACGACGATATGCACGAGGGTCGCATAACGTGCTTTAGATGCACGTCATTGGTGACATGGATCTTCAGACCAGCAAGTACAGCCAGACATCATGAAATTAACGTTGAATAAACAACTGGGTTTGACTTGGCATATGTGTAACTGAAGGCCGAAATTGGACCTATCGTCTGTATATTAATAGAAGCCCTGGGGGCAAATGACATCTGTAAGATATTTCTAACACTAGATCAGACACCAGCAACGTTAATTTTGCATGGCCAGGTCACGTGCACTGCAATGCAATAAGATAATATATATACATATATATTAAAGCTATTTTTTTTGTTCTGCAAAATACCTCAGAACTACAGTCAGTTGCTCTTTGTTTCTTTCACAAATACCATAAGAGCCGTGTGGAACCGAGGGGTTAAACATGATTTTATTCATGTCTAGAGAGGAACTAAATGTATTTGGTGTATAGCTGAACAGAGGTGATGTTTCGTGCAATGGATCCGTTATCACATTGGGATGCATGTAGGTTTGCATCCAAAAGTCAAGGGTTAAGTGACACGGAGTGGCAGTGACATATTACATTTCTATTGATGGCTTGAGTAAACATATTTTCCTGAATATGCAGAATGCTGAAGGGAATTAAATTCATGAATATGCCGACTGCAGCAAGATGGCAACTCTCACGTGTTACCACCTTGCACTTTCAGACAAGATTCTATTTCCAATAGTTACACACTCTCTCACTGACTAAACCCCGTTCGTACAAATTAGTTCCTATCAGACAGCCCCTGCTTCATTCGGTTTCTGAACAGCAGCTATTGAAAAGGCTCTGAACTGTGTGTTCTTTATTTCCTATAGCTTTGTTCATTGTGGCTGATGTTGAAGTTCCCTTGAGCAGCTATTATTCCGCCAAGAGCAGACCGCACCACTATAACGGGAATAAATAGCTGTTTTTAAGGTATTGCGATGAACGAGGAAAACTTCTCGTGACAGTTCAGGGCTTACGAATGTGGTCTGTTCCTCCTATCACTCAACTTCAGTGATTTTATTAGAAAGCTATCAGTTTTATTGTTTTTAAACTTGCATTTCTTATGTGTCTGGGCAATGATGAAAACTAGGTTTACATTCATTTATGTTGCAGCTGCAGCTTTTGGATGAATGGAAGGTTCACAGAAGATGGATTTTGCTCGTATAGAGAGATATCGCTCTATATATAAATAAAGAGAAATATTTCTTTGTTTCGCAGCTCACTGTGCTTCTAGGATATCACTGTTGTAACATATCACATATCTCTATAGCTACATGAGATGATTCCTTATATAACGACACTGACTAATTCCATGGAGTATAATTAATCATTGTATTTATTTGTGTGTATAAATGTGGTTAAACAAAGTAATTTACCTATTTAATCCTCTTAGTGTTCTGACCAAGAGTTTTGCTTTGGTTGACGGGGGGGAGGAAGGGGCATTAAAACAGGAGGGGAGGGGGTAGCTTGTTTTCAACACTGTGACAGTCAGTGGGTATTTTGTCCAGTCCACAAAAATGGAAAGAATTGTGTTTAAATCCATAATAACTGAAAGCTCATTCGAACACAGGCAGCTTTGTGGGCACCTGCCACCCCCCTCCCACTGCCCCATCATCCTTATCCGAAACAGCAGGCACACAGGACAGCCTCAAACACTGTACCAGTGGCTAGTCCCCATTTAAATATAGCTTAATTTTATTAAATGTAAGCCGTGTGAGGAAAAAAATGGGGAAAGCCCATCTGCGGGAGAAGTACTGTCGGCTATCAGCAAGGTCAAGAAACTGCTTAAACCTCACAATAAACAATGTCACCACTGGAATGAAATATTTATGAAATGATGGTTTAAATTTAGCCCAATCAGCTTTTTTTCCCCCCCACATGCCTCTGTCACATCTAGCCGCCAACAAGAGGAGACATTGGCTGACAGGATGTCAGATTTCAATGTCCCTCCCCCTTTCTTATTTAGCAGCAGGATATTTTTGGCACCCCCCAGCTCTAAATCTTCCTTCATACAGTTGTGGTGTATTCGTGCTCAGCCTGTCGCCACACCCGCACCCCCCCCCCACCATTCCCCATCACCACCCCGTCTGTATGATTGCAGCTACCGTAGGTGGTTAATTCAATGAGCGCCACTCATGGTCTCAGAAGGGGGGCTTCCATTCAGTGTTACGTAACTTATCTGCAGTGTTTTTTTCCTTCTTCTTCCTCCTGTGTCCTTTCCTGTCTGCTTCAGTCATTCATCTACGGTTTCCCCAAACTCCGGATACTTCAGGTTCTTGCCTGAAATTAAAACATATAATTTTTACAAGCTCCTGGGGATTCCAAGGTCTAAACAGCATTGTTTCGGGGAATGGCAAAAATTCCCACTTTTTTTTTTTTTTTTGCTGGCAGAGAGCTCAGAGCTGGTGGTCCACTCGAGAGAATGAACTTTACAGATTATACATGATGCATCCTGCAAATGAAATGGTGGTTCTCAGATGGTCAGACTTTTGATCTGTAGTGCTTTGTGCGGGATGTGTTTTTGCCTGGTTGCATAGCAGACGAATATCGGATCTACACGAGGGTTGGGTTTAGGCTGCTCTAAATAATTCCACAGCAGCGTACCCGGGACTGAGCTGGGCAGAGCAGAATATGAGGGAGTAGCATAAACAGTAACAGTCTTCCATTCACTGTAAGCTTCCATTATTGTGCAGTCAACGTACAATAAACTTTAGGAAACGGAGAACACCATTCATTTTAGTAAAAAAAAAAAAACAAAAAAAAAAAAACAGATTTATAGGAATGCATATATTTGGCTAACCTATATTACGGTAACTCCTGGAATAGCTAATATTTAAGACTGTAAGGATCGACGATAAATACAACAGTCATGCCAAAATTAAACATAGTGAACTGATATCTTAAAGGAATGTTTAAGTCTGAACTTAAGTATGCTTTTGAATGCTTTAAATATTTTCAATGTCAACTATTTTGTACAGCCTGCTATGTTGAAGCTATAAATATTATGCCTATATGATTTTTATATGGAAACAAATACAATTTTCATTAAACCTTTGTCTATGAAATTGCATTTGCTTGTTTATTTTTAATTGGACTTATTTCTCCATAAACACATTTGACAGTAGGTATACCTCTCAGACCTATTTCTTGCTACACAATCCTTTTATCTTAGTTCATGTATGCAAATTTAACCCTAGAAAGACATGCAAAGCTGCCTTGTTTTTCTCCACAAAGTTGCCATTTTTCTGGGTGTCTGGGTGGTTTGATGCTAAAAACGGTCCCAGGAATCTATAGTTTTTACTTCATTCCAGCAGACTGCCTCAGACAAAACTGTAGCCCAAGGGTGGGCAATCTTATCCGCAAAGGGCCGGTGTGTATGCAGGTTTTTGGGATAATCTTTAGGTCAGCTGTTCAAACCCAGGTGTGAAGACTCTTCATCCAATCAGTCTTCTAATTAGTAATCTAATAAGGGAGCTGCAGTGAAAACCCGCATACACAGTGGCCCTTTCTGGGTAAGATTGCCCATCCCTGCTGTAGCCCTATTTTAACTACCTGCTTTAGGCCGTTAATGCATATTTTGTATTTGTGTACATTGTTGCACACGTTCACTTGGTTTTTTTCTGATAAAGTTTGCTGCAAAATCAAGACCTATACTGGATGTAATGAGGCTAATTGCATCATTTGAATTGACGCCAGCTTCTTGTTTTTATCGACCAGTCCAGTGCACATTCTGGACATGTTTCATGGACCAGTTTCCTCAGTGAATGTCTAAGAGGAGATTCTGCAAGACACCTGCCTTACGGGACACAGGGTGAGAGCCATCAAAATTTGTTCTCTCCGGTGTGGACTTGAGCAGCCGACATAGTATCAAAATCCCAACTGAAGCACGAAATTCCATTGACAGCTGATTCGTTCACCCACGAGCACAAACATATAAATATAGTTAAGGCTAAAGGTTGACTGTGTTTAAAGGGTAACAATATTGCTCATATAATTCGAAGTCTGTTCAAAGATGTTCTCATCTCTAGGGCATGTCCTTAACTACCAATCTACAGTGCTACCTTGGAGACCTCATCACTGGATTTAGATGGAATGATTTTAGGGTGCAGGGACATTTTATTATGTGTGCCTATGATTAATGATACCATTAGTCATTTAAAAACTGCCTATCGCATTCAAGCTAAAAACAGATGTAATGGATAGAGTTATAATTCCCTTTTGCATGCTTTAATGATGCACATATCCATTATAGAGACCACATTGTGTTTCTGATCATTAAAACCTGAATGCTATGTTGGCTCCTGAAATACTGGCATATAGGTGATGTGTATGTGAGGATTATCGGAAGTAATTTTAATTGGTTTCTTTACGAGATTTAAGCCTATTGGTTCATTCTCTCTCTACATTCAATGAGCTTGTTGCTAATCTGGGAACATTCTTATACCCTGGATATCATGTACAACAATGATTAGGACTTCATTCTATTTGTTGTGAATAGCATAAATTCATTTGGGCAACAGCTCAAGACTGAAAACTGTCAAATAAATGGAATCATCACATCCACTGCCATTTATCTCTAATTTGCAGCAGGCTGCTTTGTATCAAATTACGCTGATGACGACAGCAATGCTTTTCAGTAGTACTAATAGTGCCTGCTATTAACACTATTGGCTGTTCTGCTTTTCTAAACCACAATTGTGAAATGTCAGCCCCATCATTCTGAAAATTGAGATATTTTTAGAAAACAATAAAAAATAAGATCAGTAAACCCCATGATAAATCAGATGGTGTTTTAACTGTCTCTAATCCCACAGGGAAGAATGGAAATTTCATATCTGATTCAAAATTAAATGGAGAATTTTGCACTAATTATAAATCACATCCGATTCTAATATACTTCTGTGTCCATTCAGCAAGGGGAGAAAGCATTTCTAATTTATTTATGAAGGTGGTTGTGTGTTTTTCTTTGTAGGGTATTTTTTTGGAGTTCTTCAAGGAATGAAATATTCATGATGCAGATTTTATCTTTTGTCTATCAGGAATGTGGCCTCCATGAATCCACTGCTTTCTATTTAAGAGCATCTTGGCAGTAAGTGGCATTGCTCATGGAAACGGATGGATATAACCAGAGAAACACAGCAGTTATGTCAGCATCATCCACTTGCAAGGAACCCCGATTGGAAATTCCAGCTGAAACCAGCAGACCTTATCAATTGATTTAAAATGGGTTTTGGAGACATGAATTGTTCTGCATTATTTACTAGTAGATACAGAAATAGTACAGTTACCATTTCTAGCTCAAACCAGCAGATCTGAGCTTAGCCATATGATGTTCAGACCAGTGCAGCTATTCAAAATTATTCACCCAAAACTAAAATTCTACTGAAAATTGTAGGGCCACTGTACCCCAACTCACAACAGGGATCATTTCATTAGCAGTGTGTTTTGTCAATGTGATATCTTTCCTAGTGCAAATTCCTCCACGGGACTTCAAAATACACAGTTCAATTGTTAAATATTCTAGAATGTTGTTGGTCAAGTAGGTATGAGAATCATTTGGAAAAAAATCTTCCGTTCACTTGATTTAGTAGTGGTTTGGCCACTACAAACAACTTTTGTCTTATGTATAAAAGAAAGTTTGTTGTTCAGTGATTGATATGATACAGTTATTAATAGGCTATCACATTTTGATAAACCTAAGTCATGGTATTGCTAAGTACAGTGGGAGGGTCAATCATCAGTGGCAACATGTAATATTGATTACGTTAGTTAAGTTTCACTGATCCCAGGGGGAAATCCTTGAAATCTATGCTCTTTCGAGCCAGAATTGAACCACTGACCTAAGGATATCTGTCGCTATACTCCTACGGTCCTTCACACTACCAGGCGAGCTGTCGAAGGGAGCAGGACGTTGTCAGCAGATGTATTTTAAAGACAAGAAGCATTTGATAGAGGTCATTAGCTACATAAATAAACCGTGGTAAAATTTTAGTTTAAGGCCTATTCCTGAACTATTAAACTGTTCCTAATCATTTAATAATACATAAGTAAATAATAAGATCCACTTACAACCAAATTTCGAAATGTATTACAAAGATATCTTATTCCTGCCTCACATTTTTAATAAAAAGCTTGAAAATTACTTGCAACTAAAAAAAAAATTATGCATTAGTAAGCATACTTAGAAATGAGTTATACCTGATCCTTAATGGTCTGCTCCTTAGCTTTTAAAAAACTCTTACTAATCTTTTGATAATAAATTAGTAAATAAAAAAGATTCACATACAAATTTAGAAATGTATTACAAAGATATTGGTAACACTTAAGGCCATGTTTTTTGTCATTTATAAACACATTCATAAATATTACTGCATTCATAAAACATTATAAGCATGGCTATATTTATCAAAAGCCATATGTATTATGCGTTATGAATTCTTTATGAAGCTCTCAACCATAATGCACTACAGAATTCTTTTTAATGCATTATAATGGTCAGTATAAGCATTAAGGATGCCTTGTACTACATTATGAAGGTATCTATAGAGCATTATAGGTGAGAGCTTCATAATGCATTCATAATGCATAATAAACATGGGTATAATGTGTTATGCCTTTTTGTAAATATTTATAGTCATGTTTATACTGCTTTATGAATGTATCATAATGCAGTATGAATGTGTTTATAAATCATTAAAAACAAGTGTTACCAAGACACCTTACTCCTATTTCACATTACTAAATAGCTTATAAATGCTGAGTTATACCTAATTTCTGAGTATGCTTACTAACCCTTTGTTTTATATTTGCAAGTGAAAACAAATTGTTTTATTAATACCAGGAACAAAATATGACTGATGTGTTTCAGAATTTGTTTTGAACGAATCTTTCTATCTATTAATATATTTTTAAATGATTAACAGTTTATTAACAATTAAGAAGCAGACCTTAGACTAAAGTGTTACCAAAAGGGTTAGTGTGCTCTTTGTGTATTCACATCGGGTTTCTCTTGGCTCTCCAGTTACCTCTCGCCTTCCAAAGACATGCAGATGAATGCGAAAATGTCTGCACCAAGTCCAGCAATCATTCAGTACAGGTTGTACTTTGCCTGTGTCCCCTTGTGTCAAAGTAAATCTTTTTGGATAAGTGATTAATTTAGAAGGATGGAAATAGCCACATGCGCATCATATATCAGTTTAACCTCTTGTGTAGTAGCTAGCTAACAAATAAGATTGGAACTTTATTTAGTCATTCTTCAATGTCGTGTTGTGTAAGTTAGCAAAAATATGAAAAGCCAATAATCACTCGTCCAGGATTCGCTACAATGCATTCCAGTGTGAAATCTGTATGCAAAGAACATCATGATATGAGATCCTATGTGCGATGCTCATAAATGGTTTCATTTAAAAGTGAGACTAACATGTAGGCGTCACACATGTCAGGTTGTAAAAGGAATTGCTTTTGGTACACATGGTCTTGAAAAGAGGGTTCTTTGGCACATTTCTTTTTGTATATGGTTATCAGTACAGGGTGCACCCCATGTACAGCACC